GAGATTGACAGAGTAAACACAACCCACTCTCCAATTATACCATTTGGTATCGATCTTCGAGAAATATCTATCTTCGAAGAAGATTGCCAGTCGCCGATTGTTAGAAATCTAATGTACCATAAAGTCTAAAGGAAAAATATCCAGAAAGATTAATTTTCAACCCACTGTAGAGAGAGAGAGAGAGAGAGAGAGAGTTTGAAAAGCGTCGTGCTTTAAAAGGTGCGACATTGTCATTGACATTGACTTCTACCCTGCTTAATCTCGCGTAACACTTGGCAATCCCAACATTTTTTTCTTTTTCCTTCTTTTCTTTTTTTTTTCTCGTGCTCTGCGTATCGATCTAACCACGACGGTAGTTGTAAAATGGATCTTCAGTCTTTCAACGAAGCCTGCGACGATAAATCTTCGACGCGCGAGGCAGCCGGCCATCGCAAACACAATCGCAAATCACGGAGACTCGTGTTTTCACCGATGGTGCCGAATTCCAAGCGAATTCCAAGTCGTTTGTCAAAACGTCCGATCTAGTAGAGTGACGGCGACGAAGTCGTAAAACGATTCGCAGGGTGAGAATCGCTTTTGGCCGCGTCGCGCGAAAATTCGCCGCGAGTGTCTTCGATTCGATCGAAAAACCAGCGTCCGCGTTTGGCCAACTAGAGAGAGAGAGACGATGATTTTACACGGACGGTTGCGTAACGCCTTGCAGCCTCGGCTACGGCCGAGGCCAATGGCGATCTTGCACTCTTGCTTGTCGTTCGCTGCATTCCCGCGAGACCGCGTTGGGAAACGCTTGGAATTCTACGCTGTTACGTGGAAGGGGGAGAAAAAAAAAGCGGGGAACGGGAGGGAAACGAGAGAACGCGATCTCGATTTTCCCGCTATGCGGAATAATCGTATCCGCCGGCGCCGTTCATTGGTGCCGTGTGCCTCTCCGTGTGCGTGGGGTCTCCCAAAATATCAATCTCACGCCCGTCTGCAAATAATGTGCGTATATATCGCTCTCGTGTTTCACCGAAAAGTTTTACCTGAAAAGCGACATTTTCGCACACGTTCATCTCGCAGAGCTCGAGATGGCAGATATTCGGTACTTGCCCACTTGATCACGGTCGGACATTTTGAGAAATTTAATCGTCGAGACGACAGTCGAGACGCGCCTCGCCTCGCCTCGGTATTCCACTATTTTGGACGACCTGATTTTTCAGAACGGCGTTGTATTTTTAATCGGCCCTCTTCCGATATTATGTTACCGCGTCCGCCGTAACGGATTCCCCGATCCGCGTGGGCGATCACGTCCTCCTGTCCACCGGACCGATTTTCATTTTCCAGCTATTTATAAAGCGGCCGGCGTTCCTGAAATAACTGCGACGATGGAACGGCGATTTACCGTGAAAACGCGATCGTAACGAAATCGAGACCGCCGCCTAAATCTTCCACGGCCGCGCTGTCACGATTCTCCCTCGCCGGGACCACGGCTAGAGTCGTTTAAATCGTGGTTAGAACATACGAACGACCGACCCTAGTTTAACACTAGATTTACGGACATTTCATCGTATACCTGTTTCTCAATCGATTTAATCACTTTAGAAACAATTTGATTAACTGTAATTGGTAAATTTAGTTATACATAGATGTTATACACTTACGAAATGTTTATCATATCATTCTAATATTATAAATGCAACGTACGGAGTAAATATCATTATAATACAATAAATAGAATCATGGCATTATAATATTGTTAATATAATATCATTATAATACAACATACGGAGTAAATATTATAATATAATAAATACAGTTATAGCATTATAATATTATTAATATTAAATGTAATCATATCATTATAATATTATAAATACAACATACGGAGTAAATATTATAATATAATATAATAAATACAGTTATAGCATTATAATATTATTGATATTAAATATAATCATATTATTATAATATTATAAATACAACATACGGAGAATATATTATAATATAATAAATACAGTCATAGCATTATAATATTATAAATACAACATACGGTGTAAACGCTCTTGAAAAAGTACGACTAATGCCGAGGCCATTTTGAAGTACATCGTCGTTGCATTTGAGATACTAGATTTTTGAAAACAGTAAGCATGTCTCCATTCGTTTATTACTAGAATAATCGTTTCGCGAATGAAACAAATTTGTTGGGATTGTTTGTGAAACAATTGGATGGGTGCTAGAAATAGACATGTCACGTACGAAACTTCAAACTTTCGAGGTTTGAGAAAATATATGTATCCTATTGATGAGAATCAACAAAAATTGCCAGGATCGTAAAAATTGTTTCAATTTCGCTTGCACGTAAAATCAGAATCCCGTGAAATTGATCCGTATGCCGTAAACCTAGCGTTAATAATCGTCGCTGAGAGAACGTGGGTGGGCCAGCCAGCCACTCGTATTGGTGATGTGCGAAACATTCCGACCCAATTACACTGTGAATTCTTCACAATCTCTTTAGGGAGGAGGTGGTTCTATTTCTCACCCCAACGCTAAAAATCCAACGCAACCGGGAACCAACCACCTGTTTGGCGTGCGATCAACTCGGTCGATTTGACCAAGAGTTTCAGCAACTCGGACGATCGACGATATTCCCGATCCCACTTTCACGATCTTTTCGGATCATTATGAATCACGATAGTTTACAGACGCCTGCGAATTGCTGCGAGTTGCTGACACTTCGCGCCAATTCCGCGATAACTGGTCGTAACCGGTGATCGTAAAGCTTTGATGAAAACATTCATTTCAAAGTGTCGGTGTCTGATCGATGGCGTGGTATCGCTTCCAATTCGAGACACGTCCAATTCCGATCGCAAACGGAAATCGTAACTCGCGAATCTCGCGAAAGAGTCCAGAAATATCCGCCGTCAAGTGGAGAAAACAGGATGAAAACGGAGGAGGCAAGGAGGAAAGAGCGGCGAAGAAAGAGAAAAGGAAGAAACGGCGAGGTTTCAGGGAATGGGAGCGACGTCGCCAGGAACCTGTAACCTGTCGCAGTCGGGCCGCTAACGAGTCGAGCGGGCAACGAGGAAAGAGGTGGACGAAACAGCGAGTCGAAGAGAGAAAGGGGGGTGTCGTAGAAAAGTTGCACCCGGCACACTGCATCGAGAATCTCGACGAGCAGGAGGAAGAGGAGGAGGAAGAGGAGGCAGCGAAGGAGGAGAAGACAGAGGAGAAAAGAGGAGAGCAGAAGAAGTTGGGGAAGATGGAAAGAGAAGCGATGAGAGAGAGAGAGAGAGCGAAGTGGAGGGTGGTGGACGCGCGCGGCGAGTTTCTGGAGTCGTCGGGACGCCGAAAATAGCGTCCCGATATGATGACGCCCGGAGCGCGCCGATCCTAGATTTCAGTCAGTTCGCAAGCTCGAAAGCAGCTGGGTACACACGGGACACACGCTCCGACCACACGCTCCGGTTTCGCATTTCCAACAGAGGCGGACAAGTCGGCCCTCTCCTCCGTTTCCGTTCCTCGAACATCAAAACCGTTCGTCGAAATCTCTCGCTTCTCTCATCTTCTCCGCTGCACGTCCCGGCTCCCTCTCGCTTTTCCTCCTCTCCTCTCTCGTCTTCCTCCTTCCGTGGCACGATCTGTCCGAGAGCGAGTATCCTCGCGAGCGAGATATCGTTGAAAACCGCGCGAGACAAGCAACGACGAGCAGCACACGATGGCGGACGTGGACAGTGTAGTGTACACGACCACCGAGCGCAAGGTTCGCAAAGTGAAGAAGACGACGAAGCGCAGGGAGAGCCACGATCAGAACGCCGAGGTCACGATCACCGAGGTCGACAGCACGCAGAACAACCATCACGCCATCGAAGAGTATGTGCTGGCTGCAGATCTAACTCGGATCGGCCCGAAACACACGTTTCTCGGCACGAGCTCTTCCCCCCTCCCCCATTTTTTTCTTTTTTTTCTCGCGCCACGAGAAACGCTTTCCGTTTGCGATCGAGATCCCCTCGGCGAAGCGAGATCCTGGCCCCATCGCCCGCCACTCACTCTCCAACGTCGTGTGAAACTCTCCCGTTTCGTTGATTGTTCAAGTTCCAAGATGGTGAAACTCGCGTGAGGCGAGCAGAATCGGTGCTCTCGGCGACGAACGAAAACAAGCTTTTTGGCCGCGAACTCGCTCTATTTGCTTTCAGGCGCGACCTACTTTTACCTCGGTAACGAAATTCCTTGGCTCCGTTCGCCCAACGTAAACTCGTTCTCGTTCTCTTTCCACTCGTTTCCCGTTCGTTTCGTTTCTCTTCGTTTCAAGCGCAACGAGAACATTGAAAAGTTTAAAGGGGCGAGCAACGGATTCTTCTTTCCGGGGGTAACTGGCCAGTTTCTCGTTCCCCGAGGGACGCTCTTCTCTCACAGGAGCGGAGCTCCGCAATGAACGACCGCGTATTTCATACCGATACATGATTATGCATTTTCTTTACGCCACGATTATATGCTCCCGTACAAACAATACTCAGCCAGCACATACAACAGCACTCAACCAAGGTACATATAACCAGCAGATCTATCGCAAGACACTAGTCGCTGATACGCTAGACACTGCAGCAACGAACGAAAGAAAGAGAGAGAGAGAGATCGCGAGGAACTTTGCGGTTTGGCTGGTGGAAAGTTTCGCGAGACGAAAGAGTAAAAACGATGCCGTGAGAGGGGCAATCATACGTTGTCGTACGAGAACGTATCTGTCTGTCGTGGAGAGAAAAAGAAAGAAAAGAAAAAGTTCTCGCCGTAGAGGTTCAAAGATTTCTCGAACATCTCGTATTGCCCAAAAATTCGTCGCCGAAGAGAGCGACGTCAGCTCCCGAGTTGATTTTTTTCTTTTTTTTTTTTTTATATATATATATATATATTTCGATTGTATCGACGCATCGATGAGATCGGGTCTAACGAGCATCGCGAGAGAAACCCCACTCGGTGGTAACGAAATCGTCGTCTAAACAGGCCGTCTTTCTTCTTTTCGTTTCCAGTTGATTTTCAGTGGCGAGTACACGAAGGCGATGAACAAGGACTGGCACAGCGGCCACTTCTGTTGCTGGCAGTGCGACGAGTCTTTGACCGGGCAACGCTACGTGCTGAGGGACGAGCACCCTTACTGCATCAAGTGCTACGAGAGCGTTTTCGCCAATGGCTGCGAGGAGTGCAACAAAATCATCGGTATCGACTCGAAGGTACGTCTACGTATCCAACGATTTCGACTCGTTTCGACCACGATGATTGTTCGTACCATTTTGTCCATTTTTTCCCAACCAAAAAATCTCGAGATCGAGACACAACTTGCGCGCTCCATAGAAACGCATCTTCCGTGAAACTGCGACGATCCGTGCGGGTTTGGACGTTATCCAACAGGGCGGAAAACCAATCCAGTTTTCCCCCTAAATTTAGACTCGCGCGGCACACGGCACTCATTCGTCCATCGTTCGATCCTATCCGCGCGCGATGAAAAAAAAGACGCAGACAGAAGTATTAGTTATTGTTATTTCGAAGAATACCTCTGTACGAAGCGAGCGATCGTTCGCGCGGATGCCGCGGAAAAAAAAAAATCGGTAATTATTCCGCTGGCGTGTAATACGCGAACGGGCATGGGCGTTTCACTTACTCATTCCTAGAAATAGAAACGATGATGCAGGTACCGCTGATTCGAGAGCTTATTTCCGTTTCTCTTCGTTGGTTCTTCGTCGTTGTTGTTCTTCCTATTTGGCCGAGAATGTTCCGCGCGGGCACAGCGTTCCATCGCTGACTGGTTTCTTCGTGACAAATCGACGTTTGTCACGTGGCAGATCGTCGTTCGTCAACTCGAACGAAAACGATCGTTTTACGCGGCAAAAGACCAAACCGCCTCGCCGCGAGTGACACACACACCGCGCTTATAGGTAACGTTCGCGAATCCCGAAATGGAAAGCCGCAGTTTCGATGTCCACGCGTTTCTCTAACCCTTTGCGTACTCCAATTTTTTTCCTCAACAACTTGCAACAACTTCGACTTTTTTGGCTTCTCACGCACATCTGGTAAACTGTTTGTTTGAAAGTAATTAATTAATTACTGGTAAGAGTTGGTGAACAGTTCTATTCGAGATGAATTATCGTTTTATAACGTATGACCGTTCAGGAAGCTAAACAGACAATTTTCACTATGTATAATATATACTGGAATCACTAAATTGAATCGTCTTCTTGCTTTTTTTACGTTTCGATAGAACGATATCATTCATCGTCAGAATCAATGCTCGATGTCTCGAAATTATTTTTATATTGATCAAAAAGAAATTCATCGTCGCTACTATCTTCAAATAATTCGCTTTCTATTACATCTTTCAACATGATATATTTATTCAATCAGAAAAAACGACAGTAGAACGTGTAATTAAATAGAATTTATTTACAATATTTTTATCTCCCTTTCCAGCATAGGGTAGGCCAAAAATCCACTTCCTACTAAAATAAATCCGTAATTCGTTTAACTTGCTATTTGTTTAACGCAATTGGCAGTCAATGTTTAAAAGAAATGATTTTTAAAACATAATAGAAAGAAAATCGTGCTTGAACTTAAATTTAATTTTAAATTAATAAAATTAGTTTCTTCTTATATTTTGATGTTTTATCAAAGAAAAGAAAAAAATAGGTGGGAAGAAACTTTTGGCCCACTCTGTACATCATCAAGTATTGTCTGTGCTTGGATTACTTGGAGTGCAAATGGTTAATAGATTCACGTCGAAAACGTATCACGTCGAGGCGTTCGCCTCGAATCTACTTTCCAGAGGAATCAGAAATTTCCTTCAAGTCGCAGAGATCGTGAAAATTCACGAAAAAGTCGAGATGCTGTTCTACCCTTTTTTTTCATCTGCTTTTTCACCCCTATTTTCCCCTCGTCACCTGCGTCTCTTCGTCGCTTGTTTCGCCGCGCGAAACGAAACCGAGCCGATCGCCACCTCCGTGAGACGAGAGAACGAGCAGACGATAATCGGCCGACGAATCGTTCGCAGGACTTGTCGTACAAGGATAAGCACTGGCACGAGGCGTGCTTCCTCTGCAACAGGTGCAGAGTGTCCTTGGTGGACAAGCAGTTCGGTAGCAAGGTGGACAAGATCTACTGCGGCAACTGCTACGACGCCCAGTTCGCCAGCCGTTGCGATGGATGCGGCGAGATCTTCCGTGCTGGTACGTAACCCGAAACCAAATTCTCTTCGCTATCGCAAAAATAGCCGGAACGCGAATAGTTTTTACGCGTCGAGTGTCCAATTATATTCCGGTGTATGTGTTCCGAAACGACGGGAACACGATCGCCGCGTTCCTCCCGAAATAATTCATTCATTCACCCGCTGTCACCACGGTACGAGACAGAGACCCGGTCAAAGACGATCGATCAAACCACCTGTTTTTCGAGCAACGACGACCCCCGATGAGAAAATGAATCACGACCGTAATTACCAGCGTGACGCACACATACGTACATAGAGACTGTAGACGTTGGATTCGGCATTTCTTATTAAGGCAACCGAGTCAAGGCTCGGTTCAATTATCGCGAGCCTTTTCAAAAGGAAAGGAAAGACTCCTACGTCCTCTAATTCCATCGAGCTCATGTCGTTCGATGTGTGGAGAGTAGTTGGAAAATTATTTCCCTGTGGATCGACACTTACGATATTGTTTGTCGGATCGACTATATCGAGATGGATAAATACACTTGATTTTTATTAATATAAGGAATTATTTACATTATATAAAAAAAAAAACTATAATTTGTGTAACATGTTCGGCTCCGTCTTGAACGTGTTAAAGCAGAGATCGAATCGGTATTACAAATACCGATATTTCTAGGTAATTATTATTTTATTATCACAATGGAAACTAAATGCCAGTATGATGATCATTAAAGCGACGTTATAACCGGTATAGTTGTATTTCGGTATAATACCTATACTAGTACTGGTGAATATTATCAGAATAAAGAGACACAAATTAAATAAAATCGTGTTTCAGTGGAATCGAAATTGGACTTGTGTAATTACGCGTGTGAACAAATTGCACGCTGCAGGCTGAGAAAGTTCAAACTGAATTAGACTTGTTAATGCCAATGAGAACTAAATGAAAAATGCTTTCTGATAATGACATTTTTTTTTTAGATTACAATCTAATATCGAGTTCAGAGCAAAATGAAAGTGCTTAATGTTATACAACAATTTATGTGGAATTTATAATTTATATTATATTAATAATTCAAAAAGTTTAAATATATAAAATATACAAATAATATATAATATGTAATGTATAATATATAAAATTTATAAATATGTAAATGATACATTACTAAAGTGAGCGCTTTTTGCACAAATATTCTTCCCTCGTACATAAAAACGAAAAAATATATATATTTAATATTACTTCCTTGTAATACCAAAATAGAATACCGGTATTTATCAAGAAACGATAGAAAATATTTAAAATACCAATCAGAAACGTTACATCATCACCAACTCAAATATACTCGGCAAAAGTATTGAAACCTCAAAATATATATACATATCGGTATTCGATCTCTGTTTTAAAACACACAAACCGCAGACAAGCTTCCTCGTGTTTCCAGATCAAGAAAATGTTTCTATCTCAACCGATTGTCGAGATTGTGCCTCGCGGTTTCTTTTTCGCAGGCCTAAAGTCGAACGGATCGGGATCGTGGGTTAAAAAAAAGTTGACCGAGCTATTATTTTGGCAAAGGCGCGACAAGTGCTGTACCTGGTCTCTGAACGATTTGTCGCGTTGTCGTCTCGCAACCTTCGACTGCAATGATCGCAGACTGCGTGGTGGAGTGAGCACCGCGACCTATATACCGCGCGTGATTCACGCGCGGCTTCGCGACCATGCTCCAGACTCCAGGCCACGTACAGAGGTAATTGGCTCGTTAACGAGCCACGTTGACTCTTTATGAGGGAACTTTGGACCTCGGAAGAGCCTCCACGATCAAAGACGTCTCGGCGACCTTTTTCTCTCTTTCGGGAAAAGGCACGCTCTTTGCTCTCGAGGGCAGCCACTTCCGACGAGAGATTACCGATCGGTAATTCGGTCAAGTACGCAACAAGGTATACGGTTCCAATGGATCCGTTCGCTCGGCGATATTCGGCTGGGACGTGAATTGAGCTTCGAGGAACATTTACGCGAGACTATCGTCGAAGGATCGATGATCGATTTCGTGCCTCTGATTTCGACTTACGTGACGCGCGTGAGAGCGGATAGCTATGCGAGATCGATGAGGAATCGTCTGTGAAAATGACTCGGTACCAGCGTGTGCCCGTATACGGATCGAACCTCTCTGCGATATCAAATCGCGAAGATCTACTTCGTGGAAAAAAGTAGATTTTTTTTTAAATCGAGACTCTGACAACATAGCCCGAAGACACCGCTATTTGTTCAACCATTGGAAGGAAACTTGGAAGATTGCAACACACAGAAGAATCGATAACTCAATCGAACGAGCACGACTTAACGCGAAAGGTTTAACAAGCGCGACGATCGTCGAGTGCGAATTAAGTTCTGTCGCTGTACGACGTCGCTTATCAAGGAACGTGTTCTCGACGTGAACTCGACGCAATTCCTTCGATGAATCACGAGCGATTAGTTTGTCAGGCAAAGCAGTTCGTCATTCATTCGTTCGAGTTTGCTCGAACAATAATCTTTGGTGGCCGTGAATAGGAGCGGTTTAAGAGGCTTCGTGCCGCTAATTACCCACGTGTTAATCACCACGTAATCGTCCAAAGGAAATTATTCTCCAATAACGTCTATCTTGGAGATATCCTTCACCTTTGTGTGAATGTCGCGAATAATGATGCGACTACCGCAGCCGAAACGATCGACGCCGTGTCTATTGACACTTTTACGGCGGGCGTCGCATATATATTTGATTTTAGTTAGTCAACAAAAGTAAAATATCTATTAATACTAGAACATTCGTACAAAAGAATAGCACAGTTAAGAATAAATATAAGTATAGGATAAAGCAAAATAGGATGCAAAATATTATGTAAATATTATAATATGTAAAAGCAAGGATAAATGTATTTATCCAAAGAGGCTGAAATAAAAATATACATACATACATACATACATACTAGAACATTCGTATCTAAAATATATTCTACATATAAATCACTATGATTTAAATGATAATTAGAACAAATATATTTATGGACAGCTATTCTAAACAGAAGTTGATATTAATTTTGACAAGAGTACCCACTTGTAGAAAATGAAAGTTTGAAATTAGTACATAATTAAAAGAAACAGATTTGTGGACAGTTAAGTTTCTGTCGAAACAAGAGTTAATATTAATTTTGAGTACAAGAGTGCCCGCATTTTGCAAGCACTTGAAACTAAACGAAAGTCTGGAATTATATTGACGAGTTCGATTATTGTAGTATTGAAATAACAAAATGGTACAATTATTTACTTACGAACTTCTATAACGAGTTTAGTTCCAACAAATTTCAACTGTCATTTCAAATATCCTGCCGGGAAAGTGAGAATGATGCGAAATCATCATTTAAACGATCGAATTAATCCCATGACGTTCAGATTTGTTTCGAATAAATTCATTCAAATTTTTCTTCACATAAATTCATATTTTGAGAATACTCCAACACATTTTCCACATTTTTAGCAACGAAACTTCGAAAGGGACAGTGAAAAATAGATGTTCTAAGCAGTAAAATTTATTTAAACTTTGTATGATAAATTTCAAAGTTCAACGTTAGAATCTGTATCATGTGTACCACGTAGCTGTTATGTCCGCGTTCATGTAAATCTACTCTTACTCGACCGATTAACCCTAAAGTGTAGCTGACACTGGGTCACCGTTGACCCAGAACTTGAGCGTAGCGAAGAAGAAGAAAATATTCCAAAGAAAGATATTTCTCGAAATTTTGGCTGAAGCATTATATAAAAATAATATGAACATTATAGAGATAACATTCTGTACCAAAAAAAGTTGGGTGCAAAGCAAGTATAGTGAAAATTCAGCTATGGGTCAAAAGTGACGTCGCTCATTTACGTCGGCTATTCGAGGATTAATCGACTGCTTTTAGTTACTCGCTTCTAAATCTGTGGCGATGTACAATACATGCACGTTGGACATCTGACTCGAGGGAAATGGTCTCGAAAAGGACGAAAACGATAGAACGAAATCTGGCAGACGAACGAGACCGTGCCTCGGGCGCTGGAACGAACGCGCCGCGTAAATATATAAATATTCGCGGATGCGTTCCAGGATGGCGGAGAGAGAGAGAGAGAGAGTGGGTCTGGTGGAGCAGAAAGGCAAACTTATCAGCGTAGTAGAAGACACGTTGCGCGTGCTCGCGCGGTGTGCACGGTGAGTCCAGGGAGCGGGCACGCTCCGGTTGCTTCAGTGGCTCGCAAGACTCCGTACGGGCCAATCGTACGATCGGTCACCGATTTCTCCTTCTTAGCATCTGCTCTCTCGCTGAGACTTTGCGCTCGAATTCACGTTCGAATCACCGCATTTTTCGCGCGTCAGCCGTTTAGACACTATTTCTCGATTCTCTCAGGTTTGGCCCTTGGCTTTTTCTCACTTCTCGATCGCGTTCTTTTCTTTGGGAAAATAAAAAGAAGTAGACGCAGGTCTGACAAGTTTCTGACCTCTCTCTTTCTCTCTCTCTCGGGGGAGGGAACGGTGGATTTTACTCCAAACGAAACACCGGGTGTAAAAATACGCGTCACGTCTTGGAGCATTCTTCACAGTAGAAGAAACGATGATTCTTTCGTTCTTTATGACCGCGATGCGTGTCCCATCTGTGACAGTTTTACAATTCGTTTAGCACTTCATTGCTCGGCGATCGAGAGTGAGAAATCTAAAGGAGTCGGTATATCTTTCACGCGTATATCGCGATATCGAAATTTCAGTGAACGTTCTGTCGTCTTAGAAGAAGTTAAAAGACTCGTGAGAAGAAGAAGAAGAAAAAAGGAAAGATGGCCGCAGACACGTTGAGCGAACGGCTGTCCAGCAAGTTACACCTGCAGACGAAGAAAGTCGGCGAGGACAGGATAAGAAGGGCGAAGGAGAAGGACGAGGACATCGCGATATTCAGCATGTTTCCGATAGAGGGTGACTCCAAGTTCAGATGCTGCCTTGGCAAAGACTGTCTCCTGGGAAA